TTTGAAGAACACCGTCCCCGGTGTACCATGGCCTACGTGAACCGGCCGGTGCTAGTGGTGTGGTGCGTTAAGCTGGTGAGCGTGTGCAGAGGTTGCTGTATCTGGGGCTGCGTCTACCGTGTGTGAGTGAGCAACGTGCTGGCTCTGAGGCCTGTATGCACAAATGTAGAGCCAGGATCTCTGTGGAAGGTCTACCAGTGTGTGGTAACCATCCTGGCGTGGTCGCTAATTATGTAATATGCACGCTATGGAAGCACCAGGGGACAGTGATTCTCCGAAGGTAGGTGTTCACGACAATTTCTGTGGATGGAAAACAGAAACAAAGCGAATGAGCCAGAGCCCAGTAAGCAAGGTTGTACATCACCAATACTTACATATGAATCAATCAAACTGACAGACAACGTATACGAGTTAGCAACACAGGATGGCACACGAAGGGCAGCGTGCTGTAGCGTGGGATGTCGGGAAGTCAGCGGTATTCGACGTTCGAGAGGACGGCACACGTCAGTTCTGAAATGTGCAGATATACGGACTGGTATTAATGAATCCACACAGTACACACAGCACACATGCGCACAGGTCGGGTGGTACAGGGAAGAAGACCAGAGTGTACCAACAACGCACGTGTATTAACCCGAACCGAAACCGGAAGAAGAAGAGGGTGTACAATCAAAGGGGGCCGGTCAAGATCAGTCCGGGAGGGGTTGTACAAGCGGCTATTCTTCGTGGTGGTTCGACCATGGTACCTGCAACAGGGAGAGAGAGGGGGAAGAGACACATGAGCTCATGTGATAGACGTGCATACAGATACAGTCGAGTTTCAACTGCGTTACATTTGTAGCATTTAGTTTCCGAGCGAAATCTCAAGGTCACGGACCATCACCGATTCCATTTTCCTACCGGTTTTCGCGAAATCGGGAATGCGGTTCATTCACAAGCCAGCATTCTGATTGCTTAGTTGTGCCCAAACCAGGAAGTGCGCGCTTTCAAATTGCGTTTGTGCACAAGCCAAGAAAAAATGAGTTAAATGGTTTCAGCGTGAAATAGGCGCCATCGGACTTCTATTAAATAATAAATGTTTACATCAGAGAACGTATCCATGTACCTTAACGTATACATGGACCCGCCTTTCTTACACAACCTTTTCTGACTTCCCACACTTCTTCCAATAAAAGCTCGGAAGGAACTCGACATTTGTGTTTTCGAAAATCTCGATTCAAACTTAACTATCATCATGGATATGTAACCATAGTTAAGTTTTCGCACTCAGAACGCTAAGTTGCTTTCATCTTAATACTACTACTACTACTACCATACTACTACTACTACTATAATACTACTACCACTATAATACTATTAATACTATAAATGATTTGGCAAAAGCAGTAGCAACATATTAAGTAACATTTTACCCGGAAAGTTATTAACAGGTTGGGCGACGTCACCCAGATTTGAACCGCGAACCACCAGGGCCACCCCCAAGCTTACCCCGCTCGGCCACCAAGCCACGGGCTGCCGTCGGTGCAAAACTCTGCTAAGCTGCTTGGCCTCGTATGCAGTGGTTGTACGTTTTGGTATAGATCACGTGACTATGACCAGCCAATCATTTACTTCAGTTTGGCTTGTGCATGAATCGAATTCCCGAAATCGCGCTTTAGCATATTTCAGCGTTCTTCGGTGTTCTTTAAGAACAAAATACATTCAAAGAATATCTAATGCTGACTTCACCCTGGAAGACCGGTTGTTGATGATTGTTTGCCTTACACTTCTCAGATTTAATAATTGCGATTATAATCGAAAAATATATAATGTTCGGTAAACCTGGTCGAAACACATTTTCCCGTGGATCTTAATCTCCATTAAGTACAACATTGTTTGACAACAGCAAGAACTATGCAGTGGCGACGCGAGGGCCATCTATTTTGATAATCCCTCTACCCAGATTTGCATAACTGTATTGTAGACAAGATGGCCTCACGAGATAGCTCCGGGTTCCACTTCTGTTATGAATATTACGCTGTACAGATGGCGACCGCTATAAAGCTGTTGTCAGGATAACGGTATCCGTTGTCACTCACCTCGACTACTTATTGTAACTACTGGGTCCGTGTCTATGTACAACGCTGATTATGTGGCCCAACCTGTGCACGATAGCCTAATTCAATGACCAACAATGGCTCCTGATACTCAACCCTACGCGTTGTCACTCATCTCGAATACTTATTGTAGATGCTAGGCCCGCGTCCATGGCCACGCTGATTATGAGACCTCACTTACTCAGAGTACCATAATCCAATGGCCAAAGATGGTCTTTCACACACAAAACCATACGCGATACCGCTTAGTAACCATAGTTAAGTTTTCGCACTCAGAACGCTAAGTTGCTTTCATCTTAATACTACTACTACTACTACTATACTACTACTACTACTATAATACTACTACCACTATAATACTATTAATACTATAAATGATTTGGCAAAAGCAGTAGCAACATATTAAGTAACATTTTACCCGGAAAGTTATTAACAGGTTGGGCGACGTCACCCAGATTTGAACCGCGAACCACCAGGGCCACCCCCAAGCTTACCCCGCTCGGCCACCAAGCCACGGGCTGCCGTCGGTGCAAAACTCTGCTAAGCTGCTTGGCCTCGTATGCAGTGGTTGTACGTTTTGGTATAGATCACGTGACTATGACCAGCCAATCATTTACTTCAGTTTGGCTTGTGCATGAATCGAATTCCCGAAATCGCGCTTTAGCATATTTCAGCGTTCTTCGGTGTTCTTTAAGAACAAAATACATTCAAAGAATATCTAATGCTGACTTCACCCTGGAAGACCGGTTGTTGATGATTGTTTGCCTTACACTTCTCAGATTTAATAATTGCGATTATAATCGAAAAATATATAATGTTCGGTAAACCTGGTCGAAACACATTTTCCCGTGGATCTTAATCTCCATTAAGTACAACATTGTTTGACAACAGCAAGAACTATGCAGTGGCGACGCGAGGGCCATCTATTTTGATAATCCCTCTACCCAGATTTGCATAACTGTATTGTAGACAAGATGGCCTCACGAGATAGCTCCGGGTTCCACTTCTGTTATGAATATTACGCTGTACAGATGGCGACCGCTATAAAGCTGTTGTCAGGATAACGGTATCCGTTGTCACTCACCTCGACTACTTATTGTAACTACTGGGTCCGTGTCTATGTACAACGCTGATTATGTGGCCCAACCTGTGCACGATAGCCTAATTCAATGACCAACAATGGCTCCTGATACTCAACCCTACGCGTTGTCACTCATCTCGAATACTTATTGTAGATGCTAGGCCCGCGTCCATGGCCACGCTGATTATGAGACCTCACTTACTCAGAGTACCATAATCCAATGGCCAAAGATGGTCTTTCACACACAAAACCATACGCGATACCGCTTATCTCTGCTACTTACAGCAAACACCAGACCGGGATCCATGCAGACCGGTAAAAATGGGACCTTAACCATGCGTGATAGCCTAATCTGATGGCCTACCATACCCACTGCTGTACTCAAAGTCGCCTAAACTGGCTACTTATCGTAACCGCTAGCTCCGTGTCCATATGCGGCGTTGAATCACGGGTAGCCTAATCCAACCTAATCTGTCGTACTTGTAACTGTACGCGTCGTCGCTTATCTTGGCTACTTATGATAAACAGCGGGTCAGTATTTATGCGAACCGATGAATACAAGGCCCAAACTATGCACACATACCTATTCTAATGGCGAACGACGGACCTCATACTCACAGCTGTACGCGATATCGCCTGCCTTGACTGCCTTTGGAAACTGCTACGCCTGTGCCTACATGCGACGCTGATTACTGGGCCTCAACTATGCGCAGTGTCTTAATTTTACTGCCAACGATGGCCCGTCATACCCACAACTGTGCGCGCTCTCACTTATGTCTGCTACCAATAGTAAACACCAGGCCACTATCTATGATGTCCGGTAAAGAGGGGTGTTTACTTGTCAGTCGTAAGACCAAGTGGTGTAAACTTGAGCGTTAGGATCCCAGGGTCACACGCGTCCTCAAATGTCCGCCCATGGATGCGGCCTCAACGAAGATCTAGTAAGTGGGCAGGTGCTTAATCTCAAATCCGCTCGTTTAGAGCAATGAATCCCAACTTCACACCAATTTTTGCCTCTGATACCGATACAATGCAGCTTGATAAAATCGACAGCAGGGTCTTCTCCATCGAAACTCGTGACCAATACGTACTCAACCCAAGTGGCAACCTAACCAACAACGGACACCCTTCTGGGCTTCATCCAACTCATCATTCATGTCGTTGTAATGCAACCCATCTTCACTTCTGAAATCATATCAACTATATCCAAATAAATGAGCTGCTAAGATGGCCAAAACTAATGAGATCCAAACATCTCAGCTAATGATAATGATCCAGCAGGAGACTGCGAGGACTCGTTCTCCAGTGGAAATCCCCGGTGGACAACTGAAAAGTCGCTATGTAATTGTCGTTTACGGATTTGCCGACACTAACCCGCACGAGCTATGGCTTGTCGGACAGCGGAAAACGCCTTGTTTCCGCTCCTCAAACAGGCCAGATCTCACAGCCGTACAACAGAACAGCCCGCACTGCAGCCCGATACCACGTTACTTGATATTCATGGATATCCCGCCTTGACGGCATGGGTGTTTCAAATTAGCAAACGCGACCCAAGTATTGCAGGTTCGTGCATTGACCTCATCTGTCACCCTACAATGAACACTAATATATCTTCCAATGTATATGAGACGCTGCACCGCACTACCCATCCAACCGTATCAGAAAACTACCTTACATAAGGTTTGTTCTACCTCAGCGGATTTCCTCGGCCAACCAAAACTATCCAGAATGGCGCATCCAAGGCAAAGCATCTCAAAAATGACGTCCGTTACGGGGCTGTCTGGAAATGGAAGTGTTTTAGTGCAATGATGACATGGCACTGCTATACTCAATTTGGTAACACACCCGTAACTTTGCCTTTCCGCCTCTTGACTTTACCCTATCGCTCACTTGTTCCATTGCATGCAACTACGAACAAACTCACGTTTTATTTTGACTGTAATCCAATGATCATGCTCGACGATAACCCGCCTACCTGTTGGAATCAACATCATTACGATCACCTGACACTGTAGGTACAAAGTGCACACCGAAGGATATCATTATCATCACAATTGACAGAAGAACAAGGGATGCTAACAGAGACTCATCATACACACATAATATGACGCCTCAGATGCAACTGGCTTTGCAAAGTTCCACGCCTTTCTTTAGGCTGTAACAGCTCCATTCTGAGGTCAGCTCATCGTACAAACACGCAGCAACATCAGCTATCTGTGATACCGCAGGCTCTGAGCTAACCTAGTTGCGCATAATCTAGCCAATGCACGTCCCTCGTAATCGCATATGCCAACTCCAGTTTGCGTGGATCGCATACCTGAATATCGATTGTCGCATTTGAAACCGAGCAGTTTCGTACCAGTGAAGCAGTTAGGAATTGTGACAACTTTTGGTCGTCTCTTATTTCTGGCAGCATTCTGGCTCAAATCAGAGTGCTTTCTAGCAGACCTTTTTGATACTTCCCTATTTTGGGTTCCCAACGTAGACACGTGTCTTATTACCTAATTTGAATGAAAGCAATGAACCACTGTCAACCATCCATGAACCCAAGAATATCCTAACTGTAATGACGATCATAAACGGCTCATCAAAGATGTTAATGTACGGGGCCGTCCACGGACCTAAGTACGGCATCGCGATGACGGTGCCGCAACCACCGTACCCAGTCTGATGAATTGCTCGTAGTTCACTACGCAGCTCGACTATATCTCACTATATTTGCAGACGGGTGTGCCACACAAAAGACCGTTTTAGTGCGTTTAATTTGTGCAAGGACATAAAAGCAGTGGCCACCTTATTGTGGCTCCTGCTTTCTCTATTCACAAACCCAATAGTTCGCTCAACGGTACCATTGGAGGCTCGATATATCGGTGAAAACAAACCTTGCCCTAAGCCAAATATAACGTATGCTGACCATCATAAAAACAAAAAACTTGCTAGCTTTGACGAATTTCTCGGGGTCGGCGGGACGCTTGCAGCAATTATAGAAGAATTCTTCATATGCAAGTCGCGAATGGCCACTCTAATTTGAGTTTGTCCCAACGTCATAGGCGTGAGTACTCTCTAAGTCGTTTTGAGATTATTCCCTAATCCATTACGTGAGAAAACGCCAAAAACAGGCTTTTCCACAGAATTTCCCACCTTTTTTGTAGCAACAACGCTCCAAGCCACCAACAGTCATTAAAATGCGGAGTCCATGCCCACAGTGGACACTGAGTTCATTTAAACAACTTCTAATATAGATGCGGCCGCGTGCGGAGATCCAACGGGCCCGAATAATCCATCAAGTGCTAAAACACTATGGTAAAGTTTTCCTTTTTCGAACCGCGGTTTCAAATAAATTTTGGGTGTGAGTTTACTGCGCGGCGTGCTTTTTGGGCGACGTTATGGTGGTTTCCCGCTGATCAAATAACACCTGCACTCAACAGGTCCAGGCAAACTGCCGTTCAATATTTCTGAAAAAATAGGTTTTAACGATTACCACTTCATAGCACAAAATATTCATGTATTGTGAATTATTCTGCAATAGATTATATGGTTTACCTGTTTGAGTGAGTGAATCTTCAATGTCATAATCGTCACCGGCTGTGAGCACGTTGTCAAGGTTAGTGAGATACCGCGAATCTCAGTAAAAGTGAGGTCACTTACAACGGCCTAAACTTGCAAACAGTTTTCTAGCTGAAATAATTCATTGAACTTTCCAAAGGATACTCGACCCTTCTGGATGCGAAATATCCGGAGATGCCACCCTGTAAATAATTTTTGCGATTTGTCTGCTTGACTGACCGAATAGCGAAGTGTGTGTTCAGGGACCTCGATAATTGCTATTCTGAGTGAGCATCACCGCAGCCGCATTCATTATTACCGGATGAGTCTCGTCGGGTCGGAGGAACGTAAGGTTTTACAGATGTTGGAGATGGTTGAGCGTTAGGATCCCAGGGTCACACGCGTCCTCAAATGTCCGCCCATGGATGCGGCCTCAACGAAGATCTAGTAAGTGGGCAGGTGCTTAATCTCAAATCCGCTCGTTTAGAGCAATGAATCCCAACTTCACACAATTTTTGCCCTCTGATACCGATACAATGCAGCTTGATAAAATCGACAGCAGGGTCTTCTCCATCGAAACTCGTGACCAATACGTACTCAACCACAGTGGCAACCTAACCAACAACGGACACCCTTCTGGGCTTCATCCAACTCATCATTCATGTCGTTGTAATGCAACCCATCTTCACTTCTGAAATCATATCAACTATATCCAAATAAATGAGCTGCTAAGATGGCCAAAACTAATGAGATCCAAACATCTCAGCTAATGATAATGATCCAGCAGGAGACTGCGAGGACTCGTTCTCCAGTGGAAATCCCCGGTGGACAACTGAAAAGTCGCTATGTAATTGTCGTTTACGGATTTGCCGACACTAACCCGCACGAGCTATGGCTTGTCGGACAGCGGAAAACGCCTTGTTTCCGCTCCTCAAACAGGCCAGATCTCACAGCCGTACAACAGAACAGCCCGCACTGCAGCCCGATACCACGTTACTTGATATTCATGGATATCCCGCCTTGACGGCATGGGTGTTTCAAATTAGCAAACGCGACCCAAGTATTGCAGGTTCGTGCATTGACCTCATCTGTCACCCTACAATGAACACTAATATATCTTCCAATGTATATGAGACGCTGCACCGCACTACCCATCCAACCGTATCAGAAAACTACCTTACATAAGGTTTGTTCTACCTCAGCGGATTTCCTCGGCCAACCAAAACTATCCAGAATGGCGCATCCAAGGCAAAGCATCTCAAAAATGACGTCCGTTACGGGGCTGTCTGGAAATGGAAGTGTTTTAGTGCAATGATGACATGGCACTGCTATACTCAATTTGGTAACACACCCGTAACTTTGCCTTTCCGCCTCTTGACTTTACCCTATCGCTCACTTGTTCCATTGCATGCAACTACGAACAAACTCACGTTTTATTTTGACTGTAATCCAATGATCATGCTCGACGATAACCCGCCTACCTGTTGGAATCAACATCATTACGATCACCTGACACTGTAGGTACAAAGTGCACACCGAAGGATATCATTATCATCACAATTGACAGAAGAACAAGGGATGCTAACAGAGACTCATCATACACACATAATATGACGCCTCAGATGCAACTGGCTTTGCAAAGTTCCACGCCTTTCTTTAGGCTGTAACAGCTCCATTCTGAGGTCAGCTCATCGTACAAACACGCAGCAACATCAGCTATCTGTGATACCGCAGGCTCTGAGCTAACCTAGTTGCGCATAATCTAGCCAATGCACGTCCCTCGTAATCGCATATGCCAACTCCAGTTTGCGTGGATCGCATACCTGAATATCGATTGTCGCATTTGAAACCGAGCAGTTTCGTACCAGTGAAGCAGTTAGGAATTGTGACAACTTTTGGTCGTCTCTTATTTCTGGCAGCATTCTGGCTCAGATCAGAGTGTTTTTAGCAGACCTTTTTGATACTTCCCTATTTTGAGTTCCCAACGTAGACACGTGTCTTATTACCTAATTTGAATGAAAGCAATGAACCACTGTCAACCATCCATGAACCCAAGAATATCCTAACTGTAATGACGATCATAAACGGCTCATCAAAGATGTTAATGTACGGGGCCGTCCACGGACCTAAGTACGGCATCGCGATGACGGTGCCGCAACCACCGTACCCAGTCTGATGAATTGCTCGTAGTTCACTACGCAGCTCGACTATATCTCACTATATTTGCAGACGGGTGTGCCACACAAAAGACCGTTTTAGTGCGTTTAATTTGTGCAAGGACATAAAAGCAGTGGCCACCTTATTGTGGCTCCTGCTTTCTCTATTCACAAACCCAATAGTTCGCTCAACGGTACCATTGGAGGCTCGATATATCGGTGAAAACAAACCTTGCCCTAAGCCAAATATAACGTATGCTGACCATCATAAAAACAAAAAACTTGCTAGCTTTGACGAATTTCTCGGGGTCGGCGGGACGCTTGCAGCAATTATAGAAGAATTCTTCATATGCAAGTCGCGAATGGCCACTCTAATTTGAGTTTGTCCCAACGTCATAGGCGTGAGTACTCTCTAAGTCGTTTTGAGATTATTCCCTAATCCATTACGTGAGAAAACGCCAAAAACAGGCTTTTCCACAGAATTTCCCACCTTTTTTGTAGCAACAACGCTCCAAGCCACCAACAGTCATTAAAATGCGGAGTCCATGCCCACAGTGGACACTGAGTTCATTTAAACAACTTCTAATATAGATGCGGCCGCGTGCGGAGATCCAACGGGCCCGAATAATCCATCAAGTGCTAAAACACTATGGTAAAGTTTTCCTTTTTCGAACCGCGGTTTCAAATAAATTTTGGGTGTGAGTTTACTGCGCGGCGTGCTTTTTGGGCGACGTTATGGTGGTTTCCCGCTGATCAAATAACACCTGCACTCAACAGGTCCAGGCAAACTGCCGTTCAATATTTCTGAAAAAATAGGTTTTAACGATTACCACTTCATAGCACAAAATATTCATGTATTGTGAATTATTCTGCAATAGATTATATGGTTTACCTGTTTGAGTGAGTGAATCTTCAATGTCATAATCGTCACCGGCTGTGAGCACGTTGTCAAGGTTAGTGAGATACCGCGAATCTCAGTAAAAGTGAGGTCACTTACAACGGCCTAAACTTGCAAACAGTTTTCTAGCTGAAATAATTCATTGAACTTTCCAAAGGATACTCGACCCTTCTGGATGCGAAATATCCGGAGATGCCACCCTGTAAATAATTTTTGCGATTTGTCTGCTTGACTGACCGAATAGCGAAGTGTGTGTTCAGGGACCTCGATAATTGCTATTCTGAGTGAGCATCACCGCAGCCGCATTCATTATTACCGGATGAGTCTCGTCGGGTCGGAGGAACGTAAGGTTTTACAGATGTTGGAGATGGTTGTCACTGAAAAGCAGAGCGCTCCGTTATAACTTGCAGTTATGACAGAGTTAACATGTCATTAAGCATAGCGGACAGTAGAACGGACCTAGTTCACGCACACGGCTGACCGGCTGCTAGGGGTCCATGACGCCTAATCATCTAGTCACATAGAACGCAAGTCGCTCATAACGGACAGCGGGTGCCCACACCCATTTCTATCGGAAGAAGAGTCCATATTAGATAACATGAAATTTTGAAGCGTCTTGGTCGTTTTGTTGAGTACACCTGTCCTGTCGGAGAGCGTATGGCCTCCTTCATGCGCAATGCTCATTGAGCAACTGACGTAATGAACTGAGAGGAAGATATAAGTTAGGTTATCAAAATATCTCTATCGGAAAGGCGACTGGCAAACCAAAAGCAATACTTATCATATCATAGGAGCGCTTCAGTGGCTAGTGATGTAGAGTCTAGTTTACACAACGCTATTTCCAGCGGCTAATTCGCACTGCGCAATTTCTTATAGCTTACTGCCCACTGATTATAACCCTTGAGAAATACATATGGTCCTGTTAACAGGTGAACAGGCTGAAGCTGTTGGGTAATGTTTGTCACTTGAGATGCTGTTCGCCTCTCTCCTCTAGCTGGCACTCCAGAGAGTTAGTCGTAGTTGTCTTTATGCTAGGATTCTGTGCTTTGGTTTAAGTCAGCATCATAAAACGCCTTTTTGAGGACCGGTTAACAAACTCGCTCCTGCCTGCCTGGACGGGCCAGGGGCTAGGAACTTGAACTAAATTATTCACCTGCGGGCTCAACCTTAGGACTGGTCTGGAGAGCATCACCACACAGTTGGTGAAATTGACCATCTCAACAGTCAACGTGATAGGGGACGCGGTCCGTTGCAAACCAGCGTTCACCGGTGCTAGTCGGCCGGTCAGAAAGCACAAAAAAGCCCAAGTCTGTGTTCGGTCTACCGCTATCTGGTTTGGAGTGCAATATTCTCGACCACCAACAGCTAAAGTTGATGCTGGACGCGGCAGGATCTACCCCTGAACAATCAGTTGAATTGTCATGGCTGTGGCTCTCCTGGGTATTAGCTTCTGACGCTTATCCAACATCGGGTCTGTTTGTCGGCACAGGTCGTCCAAAGCTGTCGGCGGTTTGGGCACATTTTCTGGTGGCTAGCTGTCATGTCACACTTAAGAAGAACAACGAGCATACGTCAATGCCCTCAAATCACCTCAGCTACATATACATGCAACCTGTACAGGGGGATTCGGGCAAGAGTGAAAGGAGCTAACAGCGGTTATTGGCCTAAAGCAATAAACAGTTCAGTTAGAATACGCTTTCAGTGCCTGATGTAACGTTATCCAGATAAAGTGCAAGGGCTGAGATGCTGTCGGGGTGCTCAAGCCTAGATAGAAGCAGGTTAATGCATGGGTTGGGTTGCAACCACAAACCTCCTGGCTAGAAGGTTTGTGGATCTGCCCGAACAATATAATCCGATAGAGTTGACTTGGTTGTCCTCTGCTAGGTAATGCGACATAACTTTCAGTTGATATGTACTATGCAGCTACGTTCGACTTAGAAGACACCGTTACGTTCATTGGAAGCAGTCTACCAGAAGTCTTCTCGCAACCATCACTTTGTGGTATAGTAGTTGCCTGTACTCCGACGCGGGGAGACTCTCCAGTCAATGAGCAACCTGGTATGACGGACTGTAAAATGGCATGGGTACCGCTGTAATACAGCTCACTGGGTCACAGAGACACAAACAGCCAAACAGCAGTAAGATCCAGACATTTTGTGACAAACAAAGCAGTCGCCGCTGCCCTATGGTGAGTGTTTGAATAAAAAACTTATTTGCGTTTGTGTGGCCCTGAAGCACCTAAATCGATATGTGAATGTGAAATTTGCTAACACAAACATCTTATCGGGTGCATAAGGCAAGCTGTATAGCCGAATGAATGCAACCACTGACGCTTTTCATCTTTCATCTTTTTTACCCGGTAACCCTCATTCTGTCTCGATCGGCAATTACACATGTGCGGATTCCAACTGCAAGCTTTTCATTCACACATTCACACACACAGTCGAAAAGAAACTAAACATATTGGATACTGCCGCCTAAATCCACCGCGACGCATCTTTAATTCAAGCGCCGTCCTCCCTATTTGCGACCTTTAGCGCCAGGACACCTAGAAAATACGTTCAGAAAGTTGAGTTGAAGGGTCTCTGCTTAAAATGCTGCTTTTTATAGTCATTTTTAGGCTGTCTGTTTAGCGAGTGCCTTGACAACACCTTTCCAACGTACAAAACACCACTGCCTGTTTCTTGTAGTTGTTCATCCCTCAACAAGCCAGCTCAGCACATCCTGCCTCTATATCGCTAAAACCTTCAAAATACCCGGAATCATTTGTACACATGGTGATTCCGGCTGAGAACCAGCCTCTGACACAGACATACCACGCCGCCACTAGCTACCTTCAGATGTCGGTTAGTCAATATCATTTTTCTTTAACACCTATGTGAATTCGGATCATGCCGTTCTACTCTGTTACCTTTTTTGCGCTTTCCAGATTGGTGCAAGGTTCAGGTACCACAACTGTCTAGTGAGAAGCCCTCAGATCCTGATATGAGATAGGTCTACCGGAACCAGCTATCGAAGTCTGTTTCAAACAACACCTCTTCTGACGTAGACTGCTATTACCGAGACGGGGCGCTCGGCTTGTGGAACGGCGGTGACAACTAGATCAAAGCACAGAACTTCAGGCAACACACCGAAATTGAGCGAAGCACGCACACGCGTACCATTTCAGTTGACAACACAATGCAGCTGGGCGAAATGTTGAACTTTCATCGGAAAAGCGAATCTGAGCGGATCAATAAGGTTTTAAAGTCCATAAATCTTAGGAAGCGCAGTGAGAAACCCTAGGGTTTGTATAAGCTCTTCCAAATGGTATGCACGAGAAAGGGGCCCTTGGTGAGAGAAACCGTAGCTTGTAAGAACTTACCACTTGCCCCCAAAAGGAACGCCTGAAATACAAGGTGAAGAAATCCACTGACAATTAGGCCAGTAATCTTTGCTTGCCTATCCGGACTCCAGACAGGCAACACAGCCCTGAACAACGAACCTGATACTTCAGATGGTATCGAACATATGCGTGTCACCTCTCCCCTTTGAGGGACACTGAGCTGTTGGTCGAAACGAACTTCTACTCGCCCTGACTAGAGATTAAGGCGAAATCCCCAGTTGGTGATTTCCTACCTTGTCCGCCTCTATGTGGGCGACAAGAACCAGCAACGAGCCAACAGTAGTGCACATTTCCAAAATGAGAGCTCGTCGTGTGATCCAAAAACAGAGGATTAGCTTGACCCCGGGTGAAACTCAATTTCTTTAGTCACGTATTCTCCATCATCTAACAAAGGCCTGCGACGACCTGACCTGAGATCAGCAAGCAGAATTCAGGAATGGCTTGCTCCGTGTGGACTACGTCCTTACACTCCGTCAAATATTGGAGCCACATTGGGATATATTGGAGAGGTACGTGCAAAACCCACAGAACCCCTTATACCGGGCTATCCACTAGTTAGAGGTCCTACCAATAAGGTCTACCGGCTTTCCAAATTAGAGTTGAAACGTTTGCGGTGACGTTTGGAGAAACGTAATGCGCCTAAGTTGGCATCCAGGCGCTGGTGTCTTGCAGCCAAACATGTGAGAAAAACGCATTGGTTGACGATACCCATCGTCTTTCTGCCTGGTTGAGGGGCTCTTTGGGGGTACACCAGTTCACGGGCAAACAAGAATTTCGCACTCACGGACAATCTCACGTCAAGTTAGCTCCATTGGTTGGGTCGTATTACTTTTGCATTCAGCATGGCGGGTAAACGAAGGCAGGTTTCTGGCAACATCCCCTCCCTCCATACCATAACTAACACTTTTCATTTAGACCGTCCTTTAGGATTGATTATTTTATACACCCCTACCAGTGTAACGGTGATACTATGATAGGAACACATGTGAGTAGTATATGTTGTTCTTGAAATTTCACTTCGCACCCCCTGAAAAGAAGAGGTCTGTTGCGGAATTCGTGGAGTCGCTTTTTAACATTTGCTTGCATTTGAGCGATGAATGATTAGTCAACGAATATCCAGGAAAGTTCAGGAAGACGCGTTCAGGAGAAGATGGATTTCCAGTTTTTGTAAGTGAGATGCAAATTAGAGTTTTGCTTTCCTGTCCAATAGTTTGTAACTGGTCAGTTAGTATTTTTTAATAATTAACTGCAGCGAAGGCCCCCTTCCTTTCACTTGGTGCATTGACCAGGATAAGGCTGAGGATCCCGTAGCTGCAACCCTTGGAGAATGGGGATGACTGGGCCTATCCGGAGTACTTTGAGGAGGTTGCGGAGGCTGCCGGACTGGAGACCTACCGGGATGAGTTGACGGCGCTGAAGACCTTCCTCAGGGGCTGGGTGAAGGCGATTCTGGATGCGGCCAGTAGGGCGCCCGGAAGATGGACCGCGAAGACGTAAGCTCTTGCAGCGGAGTTCGACACACTGCCAGGAGGCAGTGAGTTTGTTCAAGACGGCCGGAATGCAGCCTGAGTGTGACCTGACCGTGTTCTTCCCCAGCCTGCGGCAGTCGTTGGATCGCGTTTTGCCAGGGCTCGACGGAGTGTCGCGCCACCAGTTGCTTTCCGACCAGTTCGTCAAGGGTGTGCAGCCGGCGCTTCGTGTCCAGTTGCGGTTGGTGCTAGCAACTGGCCAGTTGAGTGGGGGGGGAGCTGTTGCGTCTGGCCTGGGAACTGCTTGAGGTAACATTGGCCGCGTTGCAGTCGGAGGAGAAGAGGAGTGGTTCATCAGTGGAGGAACTGCAGATCAGAGTCGAGTAACTCGCCGAACGGCTTGCCACCGTGAAGACACAATTGCGGAGGCACACTCGAATCAGCCGGTGCTACATGTGTGGCAAGAATGGTCACTGGAAGAATCAGCGTTCCTGCACCTCCTCTGTAACTCCTCTTTTCCTGGGTGGGTCACGATTAGCGCACTGACACAAGCCACCATACCAACCGTTGTCGAGGTAGACGGGCAAAGGGAGCTAAGTTTGATTGATACAGGAGCAGGCGTGTCGCTGAGGCGAAGTATGAACCAAGCTGAACGCTGACCGTACGCGCCAGCCGTGAGGGCTGTGTGTGGATATCGACTGAAGACAGACGGACTATCGATGCATTCGATATGCCTGGGTCCAGTATCAATTTAGACGAATACCGTTTGGTTTGTTTGGGGCACTATTCACATTCCGGCGCTTGATGATTCGTTTGAAGAAGGGACTTCAGAATGTTACCGTATACGGAGACGACTTTGTTGTGTACAGCAATTCGGAACCCGAGCGTGTAGTTCCCTTGAAGTCCGTGTTGAAGCGGATCCGGGAGGCTGGTCTGAGGATGAATGAAGCCAAGACACAGCTAGCTCGGAGTTCCCTGACACTGCTGGGGCATAAAGTGGGTCAGGTAGAAGTTAGCCGACTGCCAGAAAATTGGCAACGATCAAGGATTGTGCTGTTTTCAATTCAAAGCGGTCTCTACGGCAGTTTCTCGGACGAACAACGTACTACAGCCGGTTTGTTAAGGATTTCAGCACGACTGCTGCTACATTGTACGATTTGCTTGGTCAAAATCGGAAGTTTGAATGGACCGGAAAAGCGCATGGGGCTTTTGAGCGTGGCAAAGTGCAGATGTTGGATCAGCAACCGACCCTTTAACTGCCCATGGTCGGAGAGATGTCCACTGTTGCAACGGACGCTAGTGATCGCGGTATCGACGTGCCCCTGAAGCAGAGGAAAGGAGGAAAGGATCACGCTTAACTTAAGTAACCGACCATTGAGAAAGCCTGTTTAACGATCGCCTGGGCCCTAAATAAGTGGAGGGCCAAACCTGCGTTGACAAAATATTCATGCCAAACCCGATCACAACCCCCTGGATTGGATCTTGGCCACCAGAAGTCCTCGCGGAGAGCTCACGCGCTTGGCATTCTATTTACCAACCAAGCACAACTTCACAATCCAGCACATGCCTGGTAAGGAGGACCACTTGGCTGATTGACCGTCACGACCAGCGGCTGAAGACGAGCCTTCCACGCCCATGAATCGGGTCAGCGGCCCCGTCGTCGAGCTAGAGCCCGGAAGGTTGGTACAATTCTAACAGCAGGATCCTGTGTTACGAAAGTTTGCAGCCGCCTTGTTGGATGGAAGAAGCATTGAAAACGGAGAGGGAGACAAGGAATTAGAAACGTTCCGGAGTCACTTTGATCGGCTGTGGCCGAATGAAGCTGGCATAATTACCTGGAGTGCCACCAATTCGGTTGTTGTGCTGCCCGTGATACCTTGCGTCTGGAGACGGAATCTCATCTTTGAATAGCATGAGATGGCACATACAAGGTGCACCAAGACGTACGGCTCACTTCATCAGGGGGCCTACGTGCCCAGGATGAGAATTGAGGTGATGGATTATGTGGTGTTTCGTAAGCGGTGCCAACCGATGTAAGGGAACACGACAGGGGCAACCCATCCCATGGAACCTATTCCTGTTTCAGAAATCGGCAAGTTCTGGTCAGTTGACGTAATGGGTCCCTGCTTCGAAAGTGAAGAGTTTGGGAATGGTTTGCAGAAGCTGGGTATCAGACGGCTAAGGACGGCACCATGCCACCCGCAAACAAATGGCCTAACCGAACGATCAAGGAGTGGCTGGCGGCCGAAAGCAGTGTCTGGGAAATGAACCTGCCGAGGGAGTTGCTAGCCCATCGTGCTTTCATAAAGTCGACCACAGGCAAGTCCCCGTTTATGATGATGTACGGCCGACATCCGCGTCTTTCAGTTGATCAGAAAATTGGGTTGTGGCCGGCAAAACGCTTGTCTCCGAAGCAGCTACGGGAAGAAAGAGGGAGAGCTCGAGAAAAGTTGACCGCCGTTCCTGAAATTAGCAGGCCGAAAATGGCGAGTAGAAAACACAGAACATTCCTCATAGGCACGAAGGTCAAGCGGAAGGATCACCGGAACCCTTGAAAGAGTAGACTGGGGTTGCGGAAGCTTGGCAATCGATGACAAGGGCCGCTTGTCGTTAACAATCCCCGGGGAAACGTCTATACAATCCAGGATGATCAGGGATCAAAAAGAGTACATGGCATGACACACCCGAAGGGCAGCCGAGTAGACCTGCTGCCGAAGCCGACCTGACGGAGTTCAATGAAAATCGATGGCACGCGAACGACCTTTAAAGGGTGAAGTTGTGTAACGGAGATACTACTGATGGGGGAGGTATGCGAGTGTTATGTGTTGTTCTTGGAATTTCACTTTGCTTCTCCTGAAAAGAAGAGGTCTGTTGCGGAAGCTGTGGAGTCGCTTTGTAACATTTGCTTGAATTTAAGCAATGAATGATTAGAGTCAATGAATATCCAAGAACGTTCAGGAAGACGCGTTCAGGAGAAGATGGATTTCCAGTTTTCGTAAATGAGATGCAAATTAGAGTTTTGCTTTCCTGTCTAGTAGTCTGTAACTGGTCAGTTGGCATTTCCTAATATATAATTCCGCAGCGAAGACCTTCCTTTCACTAACGATGACACCAACATTTACGGGTCATCCGGCACAGCT